ACAAAAGGCGATCGCAATAGGTCACTTGAGACTTTGTCTCAGGTGACCTAAAAAGTACTTGAGGGATCTTTCTCAAATTTGGCATGGTGGTTCCCCATTGTTCCAAATTACAAAAGGCGATCGCAATAGGTCACTTGAGACTTTGTCTCAGGTGACCTAAAAAGTACTTGAGGGATCTTTCTCAAATTTGGCATGGTGGTTCCCCATAGTTCCAAATTACGCATATATATAATTTTGGGATTCATAGGAAAATTAAGATTGCTGGCAGGTGGCCATCTTGAATTGGAGAGTTAAGAATTTGTTAGCACTGTTTATCAAAAAGTGCCAGAGGGATTGTTCTCTAACTGGAATTGGTTCCCCATGGTGCCTAGTTACAGGGGTTATAACTTTTATTATGCAACTGCCTAGGCATGAAGAGATTAAAACAGGTATCCTACCAGGACTGTCTCCAGGGTCTGGCCCCTACACCTGGGAGCATATTCAAATGAGCAGTGCAGGCCCTCTGGTCCTTTTGATTAATATTACCTGGTATGATGGTTAAGAAGACTCAAAAAAAGAAAATCTGACAAAAAATGTGGGACAAATATTGTTTTCCAAAACTATTAAATGTTTATTGAACAGACAACAATAACATATACTTAACACTTCAGTTCTTGTCTTGTTTACAAGTTCTGACCCCCTAACAGTTCAGTACTTGATTCCTTTACAAGTAACTTCTGGCAACCAGGCACTTCATCCGGTTCACAACTTGTACAGTAACTCCCTACGACACTAATTCTTGCCTCCTCTACTACTTCTAACATCCTACCACTCCAATCTTTGCCACCTTTACCACATCTGATACTTTTACTCTTAAGTCATTGCCATTTTTACAAGTAACCTCTGACACCCTTCAGCTTGGGTCCTTGCCTTCTTTACAAGTTCTGACACCCCTCTCTAAGATCCTCGCCTCCTTTACAAGTTCTGACACCTTCTCTCTGAAGTCCTTGCCTTCTTTACAAGTTCTGACACCTTCTCTCTGAAGTCCTTGCCTCCTTTACAAGTTCTGACAATTTCTCTCTAAAGTCCTTGCCTCCTTTACAAGTTCTGACACCTTCTCTCTAATAAGTCCTCGCCTCCTTTACAAGTTCTGACACCTTCTCTCTGAAGTCCTTGCCTCCTTTACAATTCCTGACACAGTCTCCCTGAAGTCCTCGCCTCCTTTACAAGTTCCGACACCTAGCGGTTCAATTTCCACCTTTTATGAAGTCAGTGATCTTGGAATTTTTGCCAGTTGTTTTGCTTTTCTTTCCCTTTGGTCCTTGTGTTGTCTGTTCAGTCTTTCTCTTTTGACCTTTCCCTGAAAATTACACAAAAGACTTGAAATGAGTTGGGAATTCATTTTTAGTCCCTGAAAAGTTTAAACTAATCCCCCCGTCCCTTATTTTACAAAATTTGCCCATTTGATGGTTGATTAAAATTTGACGGCAAGGGAAGATATACTTTTGAATTTAAATAAACATCATCGATGCTTGTTTAAAGAAGCAAATAATTTCAAAGAATACAATGTATATATTCACAGATTAATTTGATGTGAAATCATTTTACAATGTGTAAATATCTCAGATAGACTTCAGATACTGGTGTGTAAACAAACAGCTTATCAAAAAAATGCCGTGGAATTTTGATTTTTATTTATTTGTTTGGAGTTAAATGTCCTTGTTATAGCGAAGGTGACTGGTCATATGGTGAACAATAGAGCCACTCAAAGGACCAGTTTTAACAACTTTGGTTTGTCTCGACCAGAGGATAGTGCCAATAACTTTCCTCACTTTGCAAATGCTCAACATAAAGGCCGAAAGGGTTGTAATAGGAAATGTAATGCAGTTCTAGGTGTCAAAATGAAACTCAGAAATATTCTCTTGGTGAAAATAGGCTATACAAGTATATGTTAAGCACTTAAAATTTTGTGCAATTCGAAACCGGATAAAACATTTATCAGCCTGGTCTAAATTAGTCTCTGTATGAAGAAAACAAGATTAACTCTCAAAACCTAGTAACTTGATAGTGACTTCATATTCGTTGTATCTGAATGCATAGTATTCATTATGAAGATAATTTTAGTACCAACTGTATGTATGCTGAAAGTGTTGTTCCATCATCCAGCCAGTCTTTAAGAAACAGATTTCTTTTCTATATAAAATAGTAAAATCTTGCTGTGTCACCATCAACCCACTTTATCTTGGAGTAAAGGAGGCTGATACAGGGTTCGTATTATCAGAATTTTATTTACTTAGATAAAGAAGAGACTTGGCCTGGACCGAAGAAATACTTCGAGATAAACAGAGTCTTCGAGTTAAAAGAGTTCAAGATAACGAGGTTCGACTGTACATGTATTACAATATAATAAATCGGACCCTTCACCTGACATCATTACCTTGAGACTTGCCACTGTCACTCTTGGCTGGCCTGTTCTTGTATGCTGTGGCCATGCGTTGTATGTTGATGGGACGAATCTTGTCGTGTTCCACTATTGGTTTGGGGTAATCACTGCCAACAATACATCCCGCCTTTTCTTGTACCTTCAGCGGAGCTGTCCACGGCTCGTAGATATACTGGGTCGGCATGTGCTTCAGTACGGGCACATACTTCCTACGAAAAATAATTTAAATAGAATTAATTCATTCAATGACATTAGTCACATTTTTGAATTTTTCTTATTACAATGTTATTACCATCCTCAAAAGTGCTGATTCAAATACAGTGCCAATTGTCACACATTATGAAACATGTTGACTGACCACCGTTTCAGAGTATGGTTTGGCCAAAGGGACTCATTATTGTACGTTGTATAAAAGGAGAGTGTGCTCCCCCTCCCCCTACTGTATGGAGGGTTATTTCAGTGTGACATTACTGTATGCAAGTAATTTTAAATGATTACTGTATGTAGGGTTCTTTCAGAAAGAGACCACTGTATGCAAGATTATTACAGAATAAGACTAAAATATGCTAGGTTATATTATTGAATGGTTTGGTTATTTTGGAATAAAAATTCTTTGCTGCGCTGACTTTTTTTACATGAAGATGTGTGAAATCAAAGCCGTATAGAGTTTAACGTTGCTTGTTAAGGGAGGTTCATTTTCATGGCAGTGATTTCCTAGCATTTGCTGAAAAAGTAAATCTGTTCATCAATATGATTTTGGTAAATATTTCCATTTAAGTTTCATACCCAAAAATTTCAAAACTGCGACAAAGTTATATTTTCACAAAAACATGAAAATCACTAATAATGATATGGCTGTTCCAGCTTTTTTATTATTTTTCTTTTATTGATATTAAAATTACGTTATAAAAACCATGTAAAATGTAAATGAGGGATAGTGTTGAGAAATTAAAGTCAGTCCCAGAAATCATCATGTATGTACATGTAGTGACCATCAGGAACCTTCATGTGAAATTTGAGAAAGATCTGTCTAGTACTTTCTATGAAATAGTGCTAACAAACTTAAACTCTCAAAATTCAATATGCTTAACAAGGAACCATGGAGAACATTCATGTGAAATTTGAGAAAGATCTTTCTAGTACTTTCTATGAAATAGTGCTAACAAACTTGAAACTCTCAAAATTCAATATGCATAACAAGGAACCATGGGGAACCTTCATGTGAAATTTGAGAAAGACCCCTCCAACATTTTCTAAGGAAAAAGTGCTAACATACTTCAACTATCAGTCCCAAACTTTGATATGTATATTCAGGGACTATGGGGAATGTGCATGTAAAATTTGAGAAAGATCCCTCCAGTAATTTCTGAGAAACAGCGCTAACAAACATTGTTTAAGGACGAATGGACCATGGACGACGGGGGTTTGAATAGCCAACCATCTGATGATGGTGAGCCAAAAATTTGAAAAACCCCTTTCCTTTTCCTTGTCCATACCTGATGTAGTTGCCATCTTTATCTGTCTTTTTGCCGAATGCGATTGGACTATAGACCCTGAAGTACTGAAAGAAGAAAGAGGAGGCCGACAGCCACATCCAGTTGGCAGCATTTAGACTCCAGTCTGCATCCAGAAGGTACTCCTCGAACACCTGGAGAAACACATAATGAAGCTTTTACAATATATCTACTTTTATCTTGACTAAGCCCATGGGTTCTTAAAAAGAGTTGGTAAAAAAATTGTACTGGCCATCTCATCTTAATCTGACCCTTACACGCAGGAAGGGTTGGATTATAATACAGATACAACATTTATGAAAATCATTAGTGTCAACTTTCTTAAGGTGACTGTCAACAGCTTCCCCAAGATTAACTATATCTGTACAATTATATGATATTAAATGCTAGCTGTTTAGAGGTCAAATATAAACCCCTGACAGAGGTCTTACCCACACACTTGTTTAAATTCTGTTAAACATTCTAGACCTGATAGCTGACCGAGACTGTAAGGCATAAAATTTCTCTACAGTTAACTAGTGTAAGCAGAGACTATTTAATCTGGGCAAATTGATCATGAGTGTTTTCTTTTTAAATGTCTTTTTTCCAATTTCCCCAAGTTTGATAGAAAATTCTTCCATTCAGAATTTCACACTCAGCATCTGACATAATGGTGTGTTTTAATCATTTTTTTATGCAAGCAAAAATGCTAAATGTACACAAGAAAATATTTCTGAAGTATATAACAATGTGTTATCAAACTGTTTTTACCGATCTGATCATTGTTTTCTGCAAGAAGTTGTTTTTCTGCATTGAAAACATTTAGATAGAAGAAGGGTAGTTTCCCTTTAACTTAAATCAATCTCTGGTATATTCTAAATTATACTTCACTTAATCTGTGTTGAATGTCTTCTGAAGTACAATATTAGCAGCTTCTGAAGTAGCAGCAGCATTTTCATCGTGAATTTTAGAAGAGTTCTCTTTATCAATGTGGTTACTGTATATCAGGATATTTTGGCCTTTTAAGGCCTTTGTAATGGGGGCGAATTTCTCATCACAGCGAATGCAAGTTGTACCTTTTTGCCTTCCTCCCAGCTGACGTACAGATCGCCTCTGGTAAGGAAGCAGGCTACCGAGTGTCGGGCCAGGTGATGGATCCATCCCTCCTGTCTCAGTTGGTTCATAATGGCATCAATAAATGGAAATCCTGTTTTTCCCTGAAAACATTCACAAATAACAAGTAGTTACAACGATAACTCATTTACTACATAATATTTACATACTGTCAAACATATTTTGAAATATTACATTAAACATTTTATACTATATGAATTATAATCATCAAGAAATTAAATCAATATGACAAATAAATCTACTCATTGCTTATCTTCTTTGTCATATAAATATACTATTTTCAAGATATCTGCACCAATTTTTATTACAACTCATAGTTCCATAAGATCTCAAAGACCCCTTGATTTCCTTAATCCATCATCCTTTCCTGACTTTGATAGGAAGATGCCACCCATCCACTACAAGAATTTGCTGGAGATGTGTCACTCTTTCATTTCTATTAGACCTCTCTTTATTCTGGTGTGGAGATGGCCCTCCTCAAGCACATTGATTTGGAGATTCTCCCTCGTCTCCCATGCCATCCATCACCCCTAAACACAGGCTACTGCATGTACCTGGCTGTGCCACTAACCAAAGACACACATCTTGGCTACAAGACATGTTTATCAAGTGCAGTGATACGCCCACGCAATAAACACATTATATCTAGTTTTGTAAACAGCATGTCCTCACTTTTATTCTGAAAAACACTAGACAGTAATTATGCAAATCTCTAAATAATGCATTTAAAATCAACTTTCTACACAGAATCAAGCACATGTACAGAGCTTTGACCTTATTAGTGTGTACATACTATAACAAAGTCCTAGTGAGAGCATACTATTACATATGTTGATACACAGTGTACTCATGTGTGTTTCTCTTTGTTATTGAGAATTCAACATATTGTACCTATTACGCAACAGATTCTTTCAGACGCCATCCCAAACATGGAAAAATATACTTCTGGTTAGCAAATATGGATGGGCACACCGGAAACTCACAAAACATTTGCGCAAGAATATGTGTGGCAGTAACAGACAGACATTCATTGTTTGGATAGACACACACACACACAAAGTTTTCTTTCTTTAATGCTGATTAAGGTGTGTATAAAGTTTGAAAGTGATCCGGCTGTTGAAGCTCAAGTTTTCAGCTGAACAATTTGTGGACAGATGGACGTACAAAGTTTGTAAACAGATGGACGTACAAAGTTTGTAAACAGATGGACATACAAAATTTGTGGACAGATGGACATACAAAATTTGTGGACAGATGAACGTACAAAGTTTGTGGACAGATGGACATACAAAGTTTTTGAACAGATGGACGTACAAAGTTTGTGGACAGATGGACATACAAAGTTTGTGGACAGATGGACATACAAAGTTTGTGGACAGATGGACATACAAAGTTTGTGGACAGATGGACATACAAAGTTTGTGGACAGATGGACATACAAAGTTTGTGGACAGATGGACATACAAAGTTTGTGGACAGATGGACATACAAAGTTTGTGGACAGATGGACATACAAAGTTTGTGGACAGATGGACATACAAAGTTTGTGGACAGATGGACGTACAAAGTTTGTGGACAGATGGACGTACAAAGTTTGTGGACAGATGGACGTACAAAGTTTGTGGACAGATGGACGTACAAAGTTGGTGGACAGATGGACATACAAAGTTTGTGGACAGATGGACATACAAAGTTTGTGGACAGATGGACGTACAAAGTTTGTGAACAGATGAACATACAAAGTTTGTGAACAGATGGACGTACAAAGTGATTACTGTAAATGCACCCACATCTGTGTTGTTTGGACTTTATCAAAGTCATCTTTTTTAAAAAAATCTTTTGCATGCTATCAGTAGTGAAAATTTAACCATACTTTAGACTCAACACAGTCGTGTGTTTTTTATAGACAGTCACAGTGAAACCTAAGCAAGGTCACAGTATTGAAATAACATTAGATGTACGGTAATCACCTGTTTCCACGCCTCCAGGAACTCTACATTAGTATCCCAAGGAATCTGTATACAGATAGGGTTGTCCACCATTTGGTCAAAATTTGGGGTAACTGACCCAACTGTGTAGAAAAATTCACGCCAGAGCAGCTGACCTTCCAGGGACACTGGGGGAGCTGTGTGTTTCTGTAACGAATTAGTTCATCTGTTATTCATTAAGGATGTAGGTTACCCTACTTTGACATGCATCTCCTGCACAAAAAGAGTTCCACTAATGATGTGTATATGAAATAGCATATATCCTCAAATAAACAACATTATTACCCATTTGAGAAAAATCTAGGAATCTGATAGGTTAAAAACTACAGTGTACCAAACCGCATTTGGAAATCTTAGGGGGTATACAAAAATCTTGGGGGGTATATGGTCATGTCACGTGATTCTCAGCAGTAATACGGTGGAATCACGTGATTTTACAAGGGGTATACGGGTCACGTGTCTTTGTATCTTGTGGCCGGGCAACAGGAGACAAATTGCATTCATTGTCTGCTTCGCTGTTTACAAAATGGCAAAACGTTTCACTTCGCATACTGATAAGGAAATATATTTTTCTTTGTTTTTATTATAAAAGACTCAAAGGGGTAATAAATTCGTTGAACAGATTTTTGGCAGGGTATACGGGATGGTATGACCCTACAGGATTTTGTATTTCCTTCGGCCTATCGGCCTCAGGAAATATGAAACCCTTTAGGGTCATACCATCCTGTATACCCTGCAAAAATCTGTGTAACTAATAATATTCTTTGATTATTAAAAATGGAAGCTTATAATGATCTCATTTTTTTTCCACATGAAATCTATATATTGTTATGGTCATTTCCTCAACAAAAAGGTGCTGAACCATATATACCAACATTTAAAAAACAAATCAGTTTCAACTTATTCCCAACTCAATAGACCTATATATATATGTATTATAATGATTAAACAAGAGAGCAGTCACCACCAGTCCAAACGTTAGTGGGTTGTTATGTGTGCTGGAGTCTGACTATACTCAAGACATGCAGATTAGCGTGATTGATAAAATATGGAATATATTTAAGGTAATAATCAATCATAACATTCTCACGTATCACTGGAAAGTAGGTACTTATTTTATTGGTTAACTTATAATGTTTGGAAATGCCTGTGATAGAGATGTATACAACCAAAACATACTTCAGCAGAGATTGAAGGTGGGCTTACTCGACTGACAGGGGTAAGTACATACCTTGTTTTGTTTATATATGTCAACGAGTCTGTAATACATTGTTCTAGGTGACAGACAGCCAAACTTCAAATACGGACTGAGGACGGTCGTGCTAGGCTCAAGGGAGTTTGGTTCTGTCTTTGGCTTCTCAAAAGTACACACCCAATTCTGCAAAGTAATTTAATTATACCTGATAATAAAAATACTTATCCTTGTACTCATATAGATACTCACGTAAATTTTCTATATGAACCTTATTATAAAACAGAGGAAATGTTGTACATATTAATGATTCTTCATTTCTAACTAGGCCTTGACCTAATCTATTAAGATATTTTGAACCTATGTTTGTTGGGTTTTTTAGGTTAGGTCACAGCAAGAAAGGAAATTTGAGTCATATGTAACACCTTTTGATTCCAGTGATATTTTAATGAAACAAAATGTCAAAAACTAATTGAAGCAACAATCATTTTTATAAAAAGAAAGATGCTAACTTGGGAGACCTAGGCCTGTGTCTGATGACTCAGATGGCTGACCAGATCCTGAATCAAACTGAATATGAGGTTTCAATCTGAGAAAATATCCCTTGATTGCATATTTTTATATACATATATTTTAAATATGTGTTTGTTGACGGTAGGCCCACCTCGGGACTAAATGTGAATATCTCATAAAACACATGTGCTTTACAGTATAACAATTGTACAATTATATTTACCGTTTTCTTCATCATTCTGTCCAGCCTGATCAAAGCCTCGGTCTCGCCTCCAGGAAACAAACATGGTCCACAGTCCTTTGCATCTTTTCCAAGATCCTCCAGCGTTGGAATCGCATACTTCTGGTCATAATCCTTAGATACTGAAGTTTTACAGTCTGTTAGAAAAAGAAAGAAAAAAATCATTATCACAAGCTGTGATAATTTTAATCATCTTTTTCATAAAATTAAAATATAATAAAAGAGGCACAAGGGGCCTGAATAGCTCTATTCATGTGCTTTTTACTTATATTACCTAGTTATTTGTTTGATCAATACCATACAGCAAATTTAAGCTGAGAACAAGCAGAAATGTAGTAATGGAAGTCTATAATAATTTGACCATTATTCTTTCTGATGTCTCAAATCCTCCATTGCCAAGGCCTGGGTACAGGTTTGGAGGGGTGTTGGGTCCCAGGGGTAGCTATCTATTACACTGGTCATCTACAAGAAGATCTGATCCAGATCTGGTCAGGGTCTCCGTGGGGGAGATGCTATACAGGAGACTGATTGGAGGGATCTGGTACAGGTTTGGGAGGGGGGTCCCAGGGGTAGATAGATATATCGCCCCTGGTCACCTACAAGGAGGCCTGATCAGGGTCTCCATGGGGGAGATGTTATACAGGACACTTACTGGAAGGTATTGGTACAGGCTTGGGAGGGGATCCCAACATGGACACAACAGTCTGTAGTCTCTTGTAGGTTAAAGGAGCTGATCCACCATTCTTCTCTACAATTCTGAAGTATACAATGTACCATTACATAGAAGCATGCAAAAACAGTTCTTACAGATCTGATATTAGATTGTAACAGTTTTTATTGTCAAAAATATGAACCACCAGTAGCCAAAGGTAACATAACAAAATGCTACCTTAGTTTAGGTGTCAGCTTGTGATATATGTAACTGGGTGAAATTCTATGACATACCGATGTTCTAGTTACGCTGCATATGTGAATATTGAAGCATTGATATAAGTGAATTATGCAAATGAAATGAAAAACTTAGATCTAAATTACACATTAGTTATAATTATGAACATGATTTATATACGTACATGTCAAGTGCATCACTTACCCAACATCCTGATCATCTATGCAAGTTTTAGAATATCTTCATGTTTTATAAACTCTTACGGTATACAGATTGACAGCAAATGAAAACCAATAATCTGACTCAAAATATGGGGATGGGTTTTTACTGGACAATGAAATAGCTCGGATGGCACCGTTCTGCATTTCATAATGGTGGGCTTATATTATTGGTAGGCATGGGCTTATTGCTGGATAAATGTACACTTCAACTAAGCCAAGGGTATACGTAAGTCACCACCAGTATTTTTGGGTCTATATGGGAAGAAATCATTGAAAAACTAGGAAAACTGGGGATATTCAAATGCTGAAATTGTGCGATAGAATTTCATTATGGATCATATTATTCACATTTAAAAAGCCAAAAGGATATATAAGATAAATTATAATTTTGATGAGAAACAGTTTTTGTTTTTGCAAACTTGGAATTTGATTAGTCAAATTCGGGAATGTGGTCTATTTTCAATTGGGAATGAGTGTTTAATATTTGTTATCTCTGGGTTAGGAGGGGTCAACGGGCTCATAGACGCCGTATAGTTTTTATAGACCACGAGCCAAGGCGAGGGGTCTATGAGCCTGTAGAACCCTCAAGCTTCTAACCCAGAGATAACAAACTTGTCACCCTGACAATCTTTCATAACTGTTTTTCTGCCAAATTTTAAGTCATTTTGTGAGTTTGACTCACATAGATTACGTTGAAAGAATGACGACCTTTTTTGCTCCAGGTATTTTAAGAACTTTATGAGGGTTTTTTTCACTTTATTCCCCATCTTTGTTCTAAAATTGTTACTCAAATGGGTAACTATTACCCAAATGCAGGATTATTACCCATATGCGTCGTTGTGCCCCACCTGTTAAACTTGACAGTTACTCAAAATAGCCCCTACCTGACACCTTTTGACTTTTCGGCAATATTTCGGACAATAGTCACAATACACAACCATCTTTGTAATTAGCACCCTAGCGGCCCCCTCATTGCCTTTTTGTTGAAGTTGCTGTCGTTTAAGATTGCTTGTAGGGTATTTCATCCTATGAATGTTTGGCAAACCTCGAACGCTTGTGTGTGTCGGACGCCATCTTTGTTGTCATGAAGAGAGATTCTGGTTTGAGTTATCTCCCCCTCGCACATGCTTTTATAGACCCCAGCAGAGAGGGGTCTATAGAAATATAGACCCCAGCAAGATATCCAATCAGAAAGAGTGTTACAAATTAGAAGGGTGACAATGTTTAATGGACCTCCAACGGGAAGTGACAAATCCCTGCTTGTACATGGGACATAATTTGATTATATTTACCTTTTTGTGTCATACAAGGTATGGGACACACATTTGATCACTTCAACCCCACATTCCCTGGCAAGGTTGTCGACTTCTGCATCGCGAAGCTTTGCATAAGGTTCTGTATCTACTTCATATGTAAGGGTTGTAATATTCCATTTCTTGAACAGATCAGCTAGTACATCTACTGGCTTCCCTTGGACAATAAACAACCTGGAATATCAACAATGTTCTTTTCACAGAGACTAAAGGGTGTATATGCTACCATACTGTCAAAATGAGACTTAAGTATATACATATTAAGAAAATGTCAAGGAATCTTTTATGAATGGAAATTCAAATTTAAATCTATGCATGATCTCATACATGAAGCACGAGACAAAATCTTAAAGATATCTCCATCTCCAATAAAGTCTCACAAGTAAATCACAGATTGAAAGTCCTCAAAACGTCACTTTTGTCAATAATTGATTGTTCAACCATTTTATCTTTATTTTTACCGTGAATTTATTTTCTTGAGATTGGTGTCCAGATCTTGTAAACTTTGCAGGAGGAATCTCCATCTGTTGATGCCAACATTGCCGTTTTTAGGAAACCATGGATCAAGGATGAAGATTGGTTTCATGTCCTCTGCATTTTCACACGCCGCAATCAAAGATGGATTGTCGTGGATACGAAGACCTTTCCTAAACCAGTGGATTGACCTCTTTGCCATTTTATGTCACTTTAAAAAGAAGTAAAAAAGCTTATAGCATATATACATTTTACAGTACAAATCTTTATTTAAAACAAAATTGCATGTAGTTATAATTTTTTTTACTAACATTTAAGTATATCTTTTTTTTTTTTTTAAATCATCATTGTGTGCATGTACAATAAAGGTCACTATTACATCTATTTATAGTCTGTAGTATTTAGGATCCCTCGATCTAGCACTCTCCCATGCCCATGCCACTGCATTGTGGGTTTTCCTATGCAACTTACATGTATTTCCCCTTAAATGAACTAACTGTAGAACAATTGGGCCGGCACACTTCTGTCACCAGCTGGTGTAGCTCGATTGGTCAGAGAATAAGTTCAGCAGTCTGAAGCTGATCAGAGTTCCAATCTGTGTCTAGCTCCGAAGTGAATTCATTTTACACTCAGAACAATGTTGTTCATTTCATATTTAGTTTAGTTCATCTTTCATCTGCAAGGCATGATTTTCTTTTCAGAAATTATTTATCAAAGCTATAGTTATGCTCGAAAAAACAGTTTCCAATATAACTTTTGGCAGTGGTAAGGAGATCATTAAAAATATCACAGGAAAGAAGGTAGTGTACATATGTGCTTCCACCCGGGATCAAACTTTCGGCCCTTGCTTCCTGGTTCACTGCTCAGACAGTATTACATGTACAATTAACCTATAGGGAAATTCCCTCTAGAGGGAAGCTAGAATCGAAGGTGATCTTATCATCTGCCAAAAAGGAACTCCTTTTTATTCATTTCACTCATATTTCAGTAATAAAATTGTTACTGTTGTAACAAGAGATGGAAAAATGCACAGCCAGACCAGGTTTGAGCCAGGACTCTCTGAACTCTAGCTTATATATAGCTATATTGACAGACGCTCTTCCATTGAGCTTAATTACTTGTTGCCGATGCTTGACCCTGTCCTGTTCTGCTACCTTCCTACAGGCTGCTTTTTCAAAGTCTTCGCCCCCTAAGACACAACTATTTGCAATGCCATAAAAATTGTCTCGGTTGTCAGAAGCTACGTTATCGCAGCTAAGGACCGCCCAACCTTAGATGGACACTCTATACCACTTGATCAGCTATACCTGGTTGCCAACGGTCGACCCAGTACAGTTCCACTACACCTTTAACAGGTTGGGCTCAACGGCAAATATGAGTATACGTAATTATCCTGCATTTGGTTAACGGTTACCCATCTGAGTAACAATTTTATTACTGAAATGGGGAATAAAGTGAAAAAGAAACACACAAAGATCTTTTACACATTATGAACAAAAGAAAGGGCGTAATTCTTTCAACATAGTCCAATAAAAATACTATGAGGTACAATTGTGCACAAAAATATGTGAATTGTATCAATTCATTGCTTATAGTGTATTGCAGAGTATAAAGCTATAAATAGCAAACAGAAAAATCATTTTTTACACTTAAAAACTTTTACACTGATATGGTCACTCACTAACAGGTGCAGTATACACTGCCGATTGAGCTTAGTATAATATAGCTATAAAGACCTATAATAGCTGTATTGACCTATCCGAAATAGGTCTTTTGAGCTATTTTCATGTGATTTTATTTTTGAAGGAAAACGAAACAAAGTCTCTGTTTAAAGACGATTTTATCATGAGGTTGATGAAAAAAAGACATTAAATATAAGTATTCTTTTTAAAAAATAATGATGTAAAAAAATCGGAAATAACATCTAACTGTATGTTTTTTATAGTCAACATGACCATATCCCTTATTGTTTAATGCGACTTTGCTTTAATTTAATGAAAATTGAAATATGATAAAATATAGCTCAACACAGTTATAATTTATAGGTGAATATAGCTATATAGGTCTGTATAGTTATATAGCTCAATGGGCAGAGTGTACTGGACCTGATGGTAGCTATGCCCAAGCTAAGGGGAGATAACTCCAATTGAATTTTCGCGCCGCGCCAAAATTTCGTCACACTTTTATACCATCGGAAGAACGGTGATTTTATCGTGCTTGTCCATGTTATAGAAATGGATACATGGTAGGAATTTTATCTTCGATATCCCTCGTCACTTTACTACAGTCTATATTTCAAATATCATGGCGGAAACGCAAGGAGCGGAGATTGTGAAATATTGCAGAAGCGACAATTTCCTTATAAAACCGAGTACATCCATCAAAATTATATACAAATGTTCAGTAATTATCCCTTAAAATAAGTATATATATATGCCAATCTGTCAAAACCGTTCTTGGTATGAAAAATGCTGTTGAAATCCCAAGGGGTAGTATAACGGTAAATCCAATATGGCGGACACCTCGCCTCGAAAACGTAAACAAATCCCACCTGTACCAGACAAAACTCGCTAGAAGGATATTGCATTAACGGTTGTTTACCTATCGTGTAAAGGTATCTGTTCTCTTTGTTTTCTGTATATATTTTAAACATTAAATGATGTATATTTGTATAAATTTCGGTACTATTTACTTGTTTCTAAATGATTAAACTTTTAAATTAAGTTACTGTCACTCAGTCTTGACTTAGTTTACATACGCTGATACAGTTAGAAATTGAATAGACCTAAATTTAAATTTATTTCGAGTTTCAGTGTTGTCTGACATACAAAAACTATACAATGGTTGGTCTGTACATAGTTTACATTAAACATATCTAATTGATATGACATGCTTTTGTTTTTCAATATCATTTTTTTTTTTTTATATAAATAAAACTTGTCAGATCATACACCATGTACAAATACAATTTTTTGTTTTTAAATATTATTTTAATGATTTATCTGACTAAAACATATCAGATCATGTGTAATTACAATGAGTATGCTTGAAGACAAGTACCCTTCAGACTCCTGGGTAAGCAAATGCCACAATAAAAGGAGGGGCTGGTATATACATTAAGTACCCCAACTGAGATCAACAATCAGAAGCAATACCAACAGGCCTACATTGTTCAAACTACTAAGTTGAAGAAGACCTTATTCATGCTGCACACTCCATCAAAAACAAAATTGATAACACAACTCAAGTAGTATTCCTGACTGATGCCCTCTCTGTGCTACAAGCTTTGACAAACGACAAGCTTAACCTCAACTTGAACAAGCTTTATACACCATCAAAAGTCTGACAACAGTTCTACAGTGGATTCCTTCTCACTGTGGAGTTTGGGGTAATGAACAAGCCGATAAATTAGCAAAGAATGGTGCTGAACAATAACAGGAAGAAAATCCAGTCTGCTACACAGAGATGAAGACTATCATCAAATCTCTGTTCAACACCCATCAGCAACAAGACAGTTACCACCAACAAGATCTGACCAAACTACCATCTTCCGACAGGACACAACAGACTCAATCAACATCTATACAAAGTCATGAAAGTTGTTTCATCTCCAATGTGTCCTTGTGGAGAAGCAGAGCAGGATACTGCACACCTCTTACAGTCATGGAAGATCCATCAGGCACTGATCATGAGAGATAAGATATGGCATTCACCAACCGTTACCACTCAAAGAAAAGCTATGTGGACCAGTGGATGCCCTTAGCACAGAAGACCACCAGATTTGTTGAGGAGACTGGTATTCAAGTGTAAAGGCGAACGATAAGAAAGAAGATGTGTAATTACCACTGAGACTGGTGCATCAATATATATAATTAAATGAGATTATTAATGTCATTCATTGTGTTTTGTAAGGGGAGGTAACTCTTTGTGAAGTAACATTTTAGCATCATCTCCGGAGTGAGGGGTGATATTTAGCATGGAAATCTTTCATTTTACAATAGAATAGATTGGTTCTGAAATTGTGGTAAAAAAAGAGAAAACAAATTCTCCCATATATACCATGTTATTGACCTTGTACGCTTTTTTGATTGTTTTCAGGAAAATGCTAAAAAACAATTGTGAAATTTCACGATTTCAAAAAATTCGTAAAAATCCAATTTTGAAGATAACATGGTTCTGATTGCTGTTTTGTAATCAGGTTATGGTAGTCTCTAGGAAAATGACAAGAAATAAATCACTTTTGGTTTAAAAAAAATTAGTTGGGCATAGCTACTGATGGTTTGTCCTTTTCACAAAAAGTTAAATCTATATCATAATTGATCATTTTGAATGTACTTTACTTTGTTATTTATTAATCATTGGATTTATTCAAAAGAGTAACGCCTTAATTTGTTTGCTCCAAGTGTTTAAAAGAACTCTGTTTTTATTTCACTTTATTCCCCATTTCAGTAATAAAATTGTTACCCAAATCAGGGACAGTATATTACCCATATAGTTCTAAAGCAACTGAAAATGTTACCCAAATGACTGTTGGTGTTATATGAAATAAGCGAATCTCATACGAACACTTTCACACGTGTGACGAGACAGGGTTTTTGCAACAAAGACAACTGGACTTTTATTTATGTTTGCAAACGCGATTTCTTTTCCCTTCTCCGAGAGGTTGAATCATATCCTGTTCAGCTCAAGAAAATTAAGCGCCATGCCCCATCCATCGATCCCTTCCAGGCTCAGCTAACAAAGAAAGGGAAAAGAAACCGCGTTTACATAAAAAAAATCCACTTATTTTTGTAGCAGAAACCCTCTCTCCTCACACGTGTGAAAGCCGCGTTCATATGAGATTTGCTTATTTCATAACACACGACACGTGTTGGTCAGTTGGTGGTCGCTATCAAATGCATTCAACACTTCTATAGTAATTTACTGGACTTTTTTGCATGTTTAACCGTATGAAAACATCAAACACGCCTTAAAACCTCTTATGAATTGTACTCTACCTGTAACGGTATGACAGCCACGACGATCAGCTGATTATGTAACTTGTTTTGAAACAAGCCGCGGTTTTTCCATTCGGAACGTTAACGTTCCATCGGGAGTTCTCGTGACTGTTCTTGGTCTGCTTACTCTTATGTGGTTGAAGCGGCGAATCCGACTTGAAAAGTTATCGACACAAATCACGGACTCAGATCACAATCTAATAATCTAATTCCGCGATACAAATGAAGACATCCTGGCCTTGATTTGCACTGTCGGAGAGTGCGATTCAAACTTGTTCAAACAATTCAAATTTATAAAACTGTTGCATATAAATATGTAAAGCCAAATAAACACCGATAGCTATAATAAGTTGACGAAAAATATACAATACGACCATTCTATTAAACAGTTTAACATAAATTCAATTTAGGTACACATGTATTCACCTATTTTTATTCATTTTAAAAAATACATCTATGCATTGAACCTCATCTTGAATCTCTAGAAAGGCATTATATCACTTCAGCAACCTCCCTTTTAAAAGTCTAAATTAAACATTACACAAGTCTTATCTGTTGGTATTACCGTTATTAACCGTAGTCAAAGGGAGTTCTCTGCGTAATAGTGCACTTCTTCTAATTCTTTCACGGCATTGTCCTAATTAATGTAATTACTCCGGTTCCAGATGCTTAATTAAAGGATTTTGGCCAAGAAATTTATGACCAAATGGGGTATATTTATACTTCTCTTATATATAACAAAGTGATAGTTCTCAACTACATATAGAAGCTAATGTATTTGTATTGTCGAAATTTGAGAAATTGATCTATTCTTAGGAGGCACGGTAATCTAGTGGTAGGACGCCGGGCTCGTGACCGAAGGGTGGTGGGTTCGAATCACGGCACGGCACTGTGTTGTATCTTTGAGCAAGATACTTTACTTCGCTTGTTCCAGTCTTCTCAGCTGTAATTGAGTACGTGGTTGGGCAATGCTAGAATTGTAGAATGCTGGCTGTGACACCGAAATGGCAGCACTGGCCGTACGCTCACCAGGGAGTTGAGAAAGGTATTGGCTGGTTGCAAAGGCCATATAACCACGGATAATAATGTGTGAACCGCTTTGAGACGACCTACATGTACGAACTAGGTTGTGGCAGAGTGTGTTATATACGTCTCTGGTTGTGGTAAAGCGGTATATAAGAACCTCGAATTATTATTATTATATTCTTCAAAAAGGTTGTAACAAAAATTGACTCTGACTATGTCTTAGATGTAAGTATATTTCATTTCCGTAAATTGTAATTATTGCACATGTATTCAGTGCTTTGTTCGGTTGCTGATGGTGTGTGCGTGTGTGATTGACATGTGCAGTGGATGAGCATGAATATGCATGCAAAGTGCACACTTATTAAGAGCGTGAAAGATGTGACGGAGTATGTGCAATATTAATTGTTTTTAAGCATTTACTTTATAGACCGGTAAGTATGGACTGTATCGAAGTTCATTACTAGTACGATACGTACTCTTTCACCTTCATCATTAAATCCCGCCTTTTATTTTACTCGATACCAATCAAAGAGAAAGCGGTGTGCCTACAGTTTTGCTATGACATATTCCAGGGGTGCAGAGAACGCAAATGAGCGTAGTCCTGATCAAAGCTGACACCGCGAAAAGACGTCAAGCGACAAAAAAGGCAAAATCACGTCAAAGCGAACATACGAAACAAAGCCAAACACTAAAGATAAATGTCGAAGTAACGAGAACCCGTTGAAGCAAAATAAAACACCAATAAATCGCCAAACTAAGGTGACTATAAATATGGTGGCCCACATATGACACTTTGCCTTTCCTTTTGTCATCCGCGAAAAGACGCCAAGCCACAAAAAGAATAAACAAAAGACGAAAAAACCACAAAAACGCCAAAGCGAAATAACGGAGACACGAAAATGCGTCACAGCTAAATAAGGAAAAGACACAAAAAAACACCAGACATATCTTAAACGGCAAAGAATGCTGATATTGGTGCTATTCTTTGTATGCTAAAAAGCTACTCTGATATAAATGTTCGTTACTCAGTATCACCAACAAGGAGGTGTTTACATGAACTCATAATTGGATACTGCCATGAGGAAATCCAAGGGTGCAGAAAAAATAGGTCTATATGGCCAGGCTAACAATTGGTTTTCGAGGATAATATGAAGATAGGTGCAATTATTTGAATCAATGTCAGTTACGCTTATGTAAATATTATGTGTGATAAAACAGACAATGCACTTCAGCAGGAATAGACAAACCTAAAAGGATATAGAAATAATTAATTGAAGGCGCCACATGGTTGAATTTGGATAGGATGTCCCTCCAGCTGGAACAAGTGTGCAGTGTCACGTGTGATGGTGTGGTTGGTGATTCCGAAGGTTGTTCCTGTGGTTCAATCACAACTGACCAAGTCCTGTCTTCTGTTTTTATAAAACATGAGGACTGTTATCATACCCATCCTTTGGTATCGACTAGTTCAAGGTCAAATTATGGATGACTGGGCTGGTATACGGGTTACCGTTTAACTTTTAATCCTATGTATAGGTGATAAGTTGATACAAGTCTAATGTATGTTGACATAAGGAACAATAGGAGGCCATTAGGGACTTGTGAACGTATTGAATTGTAGAGACTTAAAACGTTATATAGGACTGGCTGATTTCACATGTATTGCACATATCGGACAACTACACTTGTACAAGTAAGGAACTTACAAACCCTATACACATGTACATTGTTCATAGTGTCTCATTTGTGAGGTTATACGAATGTTCATTTATGCACGTATTTTTGTTTTCTTTTGGTAACACACCAAAAAATCATTCATCGAGTTGGAGATTACTCTGTCACACACTCAACTGAGTGGAGAAAATATTCACCTAATCACTGTGAAAATTCCAATTGAAAAACCTGGCAGAAAAGCCGAATCCAGAAAAGAAAAGTAAATGGGTCGTGAGTGTTTTTGAAAGTTAGAGGCAACAAACGATGTTGTATATGTTGCATTAAGAAAGGAAACTAACATTAAGAAAATTTAGAATGACTTACTGAATGAATAAATGCGATTTAAGCTTCTTTATCATGATCACAGAGGTCAGAAAAAGGCCCGAAAGGATTACTAGTACACTCCCATTGTATTGTATGAACTGATTATGTTCATTCAACGTTGCCTTAATCTGAACGGTAACTTTGTAAATGTCCTAAATAACACAGAGATTGCTAACGGGAGAGAGGTCCTGGATGCCAGAATGGAATATTTGTCTCTGAGAATCTTAAGGGTTCAACGCTGACAGGAAAATGAATTGTGACGGAGAAATATCCTTAGGGATTGACAAACCATCATCATTTAAGTAGTTAGACATTAATGTATGTGTTGGGGCTGAATTTGGCCTTTCGTGCTGGTCAAGAGCACCGGGATTTAAGATACGGTGCAAAAGGGCAAATCGCAGTAAAAGAAGGACCTCGAGGGAATGTGTGACTTGGAATATGAGGAAGATGTATCAAAGACATACGCAGCAAGATTACTTCACAGAAAATTTAGTCCAACAGTGAAAAAGGCCCTACAGGGAAAAAAAGTTATTAAATAAATTTTCTAATTTCCAAATCAAGAGAATACCGCCATTTCAACAAAACCATAACTCGAAATCACGATCTATAAAGCTAATGCAAAATATAAACAAAAGAAAGATTTACCATATAGACCATTGAAGCATAAAAAGGAAAATAAGACCAGGTGTTCTGGAAGAAATAGCTTCTTCTGATTCATTGACGATCTCCGCCATGTAAATCTGGGTAAACCAAAGTAATGTAACGTCCTGGACCGGGGTAGTGACAATGAAACAATAATGCAGACTAATGACCATAATAAAAAAAATATCGACCTTTATATCACACGAAGAGATGGTCTATATCCCTCCGACATCCTGAGGGCAACCGTAAAATCTGTCGATATACTTCAACACATATAGCATCTTTGGAAACTCTGTGCTCCAGTTTGAACGTCAGCAGTCAACATCTATCACGGAAACTATAATATTCGTAGCAAGCTCTTGCGTACCAAAATAGATTCGAAATGCACAGACCGTAGATTGGAGTTTACTATAAAGAAAGGGAAAGTTCACAAGCGGTGAATCGAAATCGATCTACTTATCGTTCAGCACGGTATTAAGCTGTCTGGTTGGTCACGTTGTTAGTCATCTGTAATGTCATTTTTTCAACTTGAGGAGGGTATACAACGTCGTGGTCAATATTATTTTTGTTATTTACATTCAGCACATCCCCGATAAACCTGTGTGAAATTAACGAAAAGAGATCAGGCTATGCTGGGAGAAGTGAGGTGTGAAGAAGGAGGCTTAAACTGAAAATAAAACCTGACATAGGTATTTATCATTAATTCCTTTGCTTTGGTAACAATACAATATCTTGGAACTGAATTGAAATCGAATTGACATTGGTATTTATATCGACGATTCGGCAAGTGATGATAATAGAATATGGAGTAAAAACTCTCGAAATAAGATTTTTAAACAGCTAAATACATTGTAAATATTCCAAGCTCCAGCATCTTCTAATCACTTTTCATTAATCGCATTCATTCGTGCGTACACAGGGTCATTGGCTAGTGTAAATTCTGTCTTCGGCTCACGTGAGCTGGGGGGTTTATTGGTTTTAATTAGTAGTATCCCATTATATCTTTTTGTCGTTCTCATGAAATATACGTATTCTGTGTTTGACTATGAACATAAAACAAAAAATAACAAATTCGATGATAGATGATAATGGGATGATTTATTAGCACAGTGCAAATGAAATGATTGAGCTAACGGCATACAATATGTAGTAACAAAAATAATATCGACGACACTTGACATAGAAAACATCATACTTAATGAAATATAATTAAATGGATACAGACATATGACATATGGCAGTTTCTGGTTCGATGAAAAAACGACTACACTATTTTTGACACGAGATTACTAGCTAGAGCTGCGAACCAAAAGCAATATGACTTTCAAAAAGAATCAAGAAAACACTAATATAAAATTACAGAACACCTCGTTAAAACTTCTTCACACATTCCACAAAGATTCCACACCTAAAGTGAATTCTACCTTAATACTCCATTATCACCGGGTAATATATTCTTTCATATCTACCAACGAAACGTTATTATACATGGTTATTAGTCTGTAACTCTTTGGAAAGAAGGTTTGTTTTTCGTTTGGAACTCTTTTGAAAGAAGGTTTGGTTTTCCGTTTGGAATTCTTTAGAAAGAAGGTTTATTTTTCGTTTGGAACTCTTTAGAAAGAAGTTTTGTTTTTCGTTTGGAACTCTTATAGAAAGGAGATTCATATCATTGTTACTGTATTCTATATCCTTAATATGTAAATTCAACATCATTGGTATTTATTTTCATGTCCATGAAGATGTTGTAAATTAATATTTTATATTACTGCAAAAAATGTAACATAAATTGAATAATTTGTTTTTACTTTGAAAAATATTAAGTTCATTAAAATAAAATAAATATACTAAAGATGCAGATCTTAAATAATATTTTAAACGTATCTGCATTACATTTTGTGATATAATTTTGTGTAAGTATGCAAGGAGTGTTGACAGTCGGTCACGTTTCGTAGAAAAAGTTTAATCTGTACTTCTGACGAATTCATATCATCGCGAAAAACATTCAACACACTCGCGAAAATAAATGATTTGTTTTATCGATTCATGTACATATACGTGAATAAAGTAGTACATTATTGATTTCTTGTAAAGCTGCCGGAATTATAGGACATTTTTTCTTCATTAAAGACCACACAACACACATCATGTAAAAATAAGCAAACCGAAACTGAATTTCGTAAAACAAACCAAACAAAACTTAGAAACGAGAAATAAATAGAGAAAAATATATAATATTTCCATGCTAATTTAGTTGAAAGTCAATTGGTACGGCTGCAATATAATTGTATAATATAATTGATATATAAGTATATATATATATGTATATTTATTTATTGTATATATTAATGCATTCAGTTTATTTTAAAAACTTTGTCAACGTTATATAAGTACCATATTAAGAAGCCACTAAATTGGTGTCAGATAACTACAAATAGACAAAACTATTGATTTTCAAAAACAAACAAGGCTGTTTAACAAACAGCAGGCAATGCTGTTTAAATAATCAACAACAGAAAATGATGTTTAACTAACCACAATAACAACAGACAGTTCTGTTAAACAATATTTTTGATTTTAACAAACAACGGTAGTAAATGCTATTAAACCATTACAATAACATGAACTAATGTTAATAATCAAACAACAAATAGACAACGTTGTTAAATGCATAGGAACGGAAAATTATTCTGGACAATCGCAGACAAACATTTACCGATAATACTGTTTAAATAACAACAACAACAACAACAACGCTACAAACGTACTGAACAAACAACAGACAATGCTATAGACTAATATTTACATTCTGTATGCTTAGACCCATTGACAAAAATTACATTCATAAATGCATAATACATGTGTTCATAGAATCTCAGCACGTGGGAACTGATAGTAACCTGATCACACTGCGTAGTAATTCACTACAAAAACTACTCACTCGGAACGACCGACTTAGATGCTTAATTCTTACATCTTAAAATATTATTGAACTGTGCTTTGTGAACTATCCACGTATTCACATGTCCTGTGCTACAAATAAACATTGAATATGGAACTACATTTTGTTGTGTTATTGTTGTTGACGGTTGCTAAGATCTCTCACGATAGTGTCACATTTCCCCGCGAAAACACTGTTCTCGCCACTGCGTTGCACCCGTGTATAAGCAGGAACAAACCCTGTTTATTTGTTTTATTCGTTGTTATATCGATCCACTGAAAGGATTCGTCAATGTAAATATAAGGAATGATATTTATTTTTTCAACATTTATGAGGTCATAACAACAATGGGTTTATGGACATATTGAGTGAATCGCGTTAGCGATTCATGTAAATTATGTCCAAAAACCCATTGTTGTTATGACCTCATAAATGTTGAAAAAATAAAAATCATTCCTTAATTAAAACACAACAACAGACAATGCTATAGACTATTTAAATACAACAACAGACAATGCTATAGACTATTACAACACAACAACAGACAATGCTATAGACTATTAAAACACAACAATAGACAATGCTATAGACTATTAAAACACAACAACAGACAATACTATAGACTATTAAAACACAACAACAGACAATACTATAGACTATTAAAACACAACAACAGACAATGCTATAGACTGTTAAAACACAACAACAGACAATGCTATAGACTATTAAAACACAACAACAGACAACGCTATAAACTATTTTACATACAACAACAGACACTACTATTAATCAAAATAAAACAGAAAATCTTATCAAAATGCAATTAAACAAACAGCATTAATAAAAAAAAATGATATTTAACAAACAACGGAAAATAGAAAAATTGTATTTAAGATAACATTTATACATGTATATAATATAATCTTAAAAAATAAAGAAAACGCTATAAAAAAAATCGACAAACTAAAAATGATATTTGATAAACAACTAGAAACAGGTAACGTAAATAATCTATTAGAATATAAAGTATAACGACCAACAAATGTTTCTAAATAACAGGAGTATCTTAGCACTTTAAATAATGACCAAATTTCCAAGGGGGGATTTCCATTGTGGGGAAAAATTGAGGGAAATGGTGGAAATACATAAATTTTAAAGAAAATTTTCAAGGTGAAGGGGTTTCTTGAAGCCCCCCCCCCCCAAAAAAAAAACCAACACCCACCCCTCTGGATCCGCCACTGCTGTCTACACATAAGTCTTGGTCCTTTCCAACATAACTTAATTCCATGCGTCAGTAATGACCTGCACATCGAAAGTTAGATACGTTGTTTAATTTTCACTGTAAGTTACGTATTTTAATCTTGCTTATGTCCAACAGAAATTAGTTCGGTTTTTTATCCTGGCAGCTGTACACTAAGTGGGTTCCATAGCTTAGTCTTGACTCTTTCCAACAAATACAATTCGTAATTCATTTTTGTATTTATGTCTATCGCACATATTGTAATTCTAGATTGTTCGTATTCCACCCGTAATTAGGTAAAGAACTATTATTTATTTCTATTTTTGGTGTATGATGTATCCAACAGAGATCTGGTCCAGCAGTTCAGTGGTGTAACTCTATCTACCACAGTTCGGCATCCTACAACTTCAGCACATACGTCACCAATGTCATGGAGACGGATATAAACAGCTGACGAACGAAGACGAAGTCGCAGAGGGAAGATGCTGGAACAAACGAGTTAAGAAAAGTTAATTCTGTAATTCATCGTTGAAACCAAAATGCAGACATTACGTACAATGTTTGTTACACAAAGGTTCTCGTCATTCAGGTATGTAAAACCCGCGGTGCCACGGTATGTTCAGAGAGATGTTGGTTAATTAAGGTTGTATAGCGGCATATTACGCTGGAGACGCAGATAAGAATGGTTTAAAGAAAAGGTATCCTGGCATGCATTGGTGATAAGCAAAATAGCAAATTGGTAATTTTTTCCTAGGCTCTGTAATAACCGGAAAATTACAGTAAACCCCATCAACCAATCAGTGAATCAATGACTCATGGAAATAGAACGATGGTATTACGTTAAGGTTTTATGCGGGAACCAGCCGAAAGGTATGCTTTATAATGAGTACCTGCCAATGTTTTATCAGTATGAATATGTATTCATATTTTTGTGTGAAAAGAATACATTAATGCTATATCATTTCTTCTGTCACCTAGCTTACCGTCAATATTGAATCAATACCCTTTTTTTCTTTTTCCCCCCTAACAACTCCATTGGAAGGCTAACATTTTGTTTTCAAGCGAGCTTCAGCTGTATATAACAATAAATAATGTACATGCTATTTACCTCAATGCAATTTAATACTATGTTATAATACTCTTTTGTTGTACATGTATCTAGATGTAGATATAATTATTTTCTTAAGGGAATTGGCTATTATGACGCACATGCAGCATGTGGACAATCCATGTACTGTATAATGTTTTGACGGTAAGATAAGCAAACCCAAAAATAGGGGGAACACTATTTTAACACTTTTTAGTTTTCGTAGTTGGAATGCGCTAAATCATGACAATCATGATAAACAGCCAAACATAAATACGCTATCTTTCTACTGTTTATACTGAATGAGATTACGATAGTGTCAAATCAGGCTGTAGAGTGGTGTCGGTGCGCGGCTTTACGGGAAAGCGAAGGGATAAATAATGTAAAAAGTCACAGTGCAAAAAATAGACCAGCATTTCCAAAAGAAGCTTACTACGTAGGTAGCCTAATGAAGTTCTTATACCTGATAACAAAATACAAAAACATATATGTATCTTAGTTTTCCCCACTTTTTCTTAATAGAAGAATACTACATACCATTTGTGAATCAACATATAACACATGTAGTATACTAAGGGAGAGTTTTATATTCAGTTTTAAATCCAAACATTTGGGAAGAATTTGCTGCGGACATAACATTGGTCAAACGGATTATTTGACATATCCTCTTAGATACAAGATAGTTACTATATACAGGAGATAACTTGTTTAACAAGTTATCCTGGCCCATATATCTATACAAGCTTATATGGTAGAATTCTGCGAAAAGTGTTTTAATTTGCTGGGAAGATTTAATGAAATGGCGTACCGGCTCCTCAACCTAAATGAGACCATTATGTGTCTATGCGTTTTGTAATGCTGTTTTAATCGTTTTTTGACCCCGTAATGCTAACACTTTCGCATATTGTAATGATTACGTATACTAAATAAATTATCTTAAGGATATTAGAAAAAATGAATCTTACCTCCAGCACCCAGCGAATCGTCCTGGAGGAAACAACTTCCGGTTCCATTTACACACGCAGTTGTATCAATGGCGTTAGTTGATGTCGTTGTTTGCTGGGTGGAGGTGGGTTGAGAATTTGTTGTCGTTGTTTGCTGGGTGGAAGTGGGTTGAGCATTTGTTGTCGTTGATTGCTGGGTGGAAGTGGGTTGAGCATTTGTTGTCGTTGTTTGCTGGGTGGAAGTGGGTTGAGCATTTGTTGTAGTTGTTTGCTGGGTGGAAGTGGATTGATAATTTGTTGTCGTTGGAATCGCTGTCGTCGTCGTTGTTTCGGTGGTTGATTGCGTAGCACTGGCAGTAGAACCTATTTGTGTGCTACCGGCTGGTGAGCTAGAACTCATATCCTGTGTGCTTCCACTGGATGAACCTGAACTCATTTGTTGTGTACTACCGGTGGGTGAACTTGAACTCATTTGCTGTGTACTACCGCTAGGTGAACTTGAACTCATGTATTGCGTACTACTGCCAGATGAACTTGATCTCATATCTTGTGTGCTTCCGCTGGATGACCTCGAGCTCATGTATTGCGTCCTACTGCCTGGTGAGCTAGAACTCATATCCTGTGTGCTTCCACTGGATGAACCTGAACTCATTTGCTGTGTGCTACCGCTAGGGTGAGCTATAACTCATTTCCTGTGTGCTTCCCCTGGTGAGCTAGAACTCATTTGCCGTGTGCTACCGCTGGATGAACCTGAACTCATTTGCTGTGTGCTACCGCTAGGTGAACTAGAGCTCATGTATTGCGTACTACTGCCTGGTGAGCTATAACTCATTTCCTGTGTGCTTCCGCTGGATGAACCTGAATTCATTTGTTGTGTACTACCGCTGGGTGAACTTGAACTCATTTGCTGTGTACTACCGCTGGGTGTACTTGAACTCATGTATTGCGGACTACTGCCAGAGGAACTTGAACTCATATCTTGTGTGCTTCCGCTAGGTGAACTAGAGCTCATGTATTGCGTACTACTGCCTTGTGAGCTAGAACTCATATCTTGTGTGCTTCCGCTGGATGAACTTGAACTCATGTATTGCGTACTACTACCAGATGAACTTGAACTCATATCTTGTGTGCTTCCGCTGGTTGAACTAGAGCTCATGTATTGCGTGCTACTGCCTGGTGAGCTAGAACTCATATCCTGTGTGCTTCCGCTGGATGAACCTGAACTCATTTGCTGTGTGCTACCGCTGGGTGAACTTGAACTCATTTGCTGTGTACTACCGCTAGGTGAGCTTGAACTCATTTGCTGTGTACTACCGCTAGGTGAACTAGAGCTCATGTATTGCGCACTACTGCCTGGTGAGCTAGAACTCATTTCCTGTGTGCTTCCGCTGGATGAACCTGAACTCATTTGTTGTGTACTACCGCTGGGTGAACTTGAACTCATTTGCTGTGTACTACCGCTAGGTGAGCTTGAACTCATTTGCTGTGTACTACCGCTGGGTGAACTTGAACTCATGTATTGCGTACTACTGCCAGATGAACTTGAACTCATATCTTGTGTGCTTCCGCTAGGTGAACTAGAACTCATGTATTGCGTACTACTGCCTGGTGAGCTAGAACTCATATCTTGTGTGCTACCGCTGGATGAACTTGAACTCATGTATTGCGTACTACTGCCAGATGAACTTGAACTCATATCTTGTGTGCTTCCGCTGGTTGAACTAGAGCTCATGTATTGCGTGCTACTGCCTGGTGAGCTAGAACTCATATCCTGTGTGCTTCCGCTGGATGAACCTAAACTCATTTGCTGTGTGCTACCGCTGGGTGAACTTGAACCCATTTGCTGTGTACTACCGCTAGGTGAACTAGAGCTCATGTATTGCGTACTACTGCCTGGTGAGCTAGAACTCATTTCCTGTGTGCTTCCGCTGGATGAACCTGAACTCATTTGTTGTGTACTACCGCTGGGTGAACTTGAACTCATTTGCTGTGTACTACCGCTGGGTGAACTTGAATTCATGTATTGCGTACTACTGCCAGATGAACTTGAACTCATATCTTGTGTGTTTCCGCTAGGTGAACTAGAGCTCATGTATTGCGTACTACTGCCTGGTGAGCTAGAACTCATATCTTGTGTGCTTCCGCTGGATGAACTTGAGCTCATGTATTGCGTACTACTGCTTGGTGAGCTAGAACTCATTTGCTGTGTGCTACCGCTGGATGAACTTGAACTCATGTATTGCGTACTACTGCCAGATGAACTTGAACTCATATCTTGTGTGCTTCCGCTGGTTGAACTAGAGCTCATGTATTGCGTACTACTGCCTGGTGAGCTAGAACTCATATCCTGTGTGCTTCCGCTGGATGAACTTGAACTCATTTGCTGTGTGCTACCGCTGGGTGAACTTGAACCCATTTGCTGTGTACTACCGCTAGGTGAACTAGAGCTCATGTATTGCGCACTACTGCCTGGTGAGCTAGATCTCATATCTTGTGTGCTTCCGCTGGCTGAATTGGAACTCATCTGTTGTGTACTTCCGCTGGGTGAGCTAGAACTAATTTCTTGTGTACTACCGATAGGCGAAATCGTTGTCGTTTGCTGTGTACTAGCACTCGAAGAACTTGAGCTCATTTGTTGTGAGCTACTGACAGTAGGACCTGTTGTCGAGCCTTGGACTAAAGAATTAAACAGAAACAAGATATTTGTCTTTGATAAAGAACCTAGCTTGACATTGTTGATTGATTCTTGTGAGCAACATCTCAATCACAATTTGATTCATGCACATATGGGCCAACGATAGTTTACTCTGAGACACCTCAATCAATCTAAATTCTTTGACGTATTAGACAAAATACTGAACTCTTTGACATTTTACCTAATCATAACTGATTCTAAGAGAAAAAATGACTCTCATAACTATAATATGTTAAACTAAGATATTATTATCGAGTAAATTCCGTATTAAGTATAAAATATTCATTTAAAAAACAACAGTAGGAACTTTTTGTATTTAGATAATTTAAAATGTATCCTGTTTAATTATCATCATTCGTTTTGACAAATTTTATTACGTCAGGCATTCATGCAATCCCAAGTCTGTCTTAAAGAGTTTAACCCAACGTTGAACGGTTATAAGGTACATACGAAGAAAGGACTGGTTTTCTCGTTCAAATGATATTAGAGCGTCAGGAATACCAAATCTAAGGCAAACAACAACAACAACAACAACAACATCTTCTCTATTATCTACAATTATAATTCATGGCAATGAGGATCTCGACAGACACTATGAAGGGGCTAGCAACAGAGTGGAAAAGACGGAAATGTGAAAGATGGCAAGTTTTATAGAATCATTTTGGGTCTCATGTTTAGCAATAACAATGGTTACAGAAGAAATTCCCCAAGTTTTATAGGGAACCAAACATTATCCCCACTTAGGAGTTGGTTAGACTGTTAGTATTAAGAGTTTGAAACACGGTTGCATTGTTTGTGCGATTTTCATTTCAGTTTTATTTTCGTAAACTAATCTGCAGCCCTTTTCCTTAGATCTGATCTATCTTCAGCATGCATGATTCTTAAAGTATTTTGAAAAATAATGAATCTACTCAACAAAAACGTAGTCTAAGATCTATTTGGATGTTTCGACACGACGTTTTGTTACATGGATACTTCATATTGACATCGATATTACGTCATCAATACTACATTTTTACCATGGGATTAATAATAAAAAGTCTTAAACACTTTTGTCTGTATAACTTAATAGTTGGAGTGTGACAATACAGAAAGTATTAAAGATATGTTTAGATTTGGTGCTTTGTTTTGTTTTTTAATTTAATTCAAGATATAATGTTCGAGATAAAAACGAAGTTCAATGCAAACTGACAGTTACTATCGTAAACGGTAACGCTATTCCGATAAGAAAACGACTGCTTTGATTTTAGCTCTACAAAACTGTTCATTATTTCGAAATTCAGGATAATTATATACATCCTTATATTTAAGAATGCTTCTTTAGTCAATAAGTACTTTTTTTTATTTTCAATATTGAGACAGTGGTTCTATGTGCTTTACGTTTTTTACGACTTCTAGCAGATAGAAAATATGGTAGATCAAACGAATGAAGTCAAATAAACATGAATATCACAGGTAGATGTCATAGCGACGTTCATTGATAAGTATGTGTGCCAATATTACATTATGCATACATAAGTATTTATTGTGCCAAAGTAAGTAAGTCAGGTTGGCCTATCCTTAAATTGTTATGACCATTACCGAAGGCGTGGCAATGATCAGGTAAGTATGGACTAAATGTATTTACCTTTCACAATACACAAGTAATAGTATACAATGAAGTGTGACTATTCAACACAGCTGTCGAGGTCATTTTTTTCAAAGCATGGTCAGCTTAACAAATAAACAGAAAAAATTCATATACATCTTGAAAAAGTATAAATATATTTGTTTTTCTTCTCATCAGATCTATAATCTGCAATCCCCATGTGTATGATTTGTTATTAATTTTGATTATGCATACATATTTTGGATAAAACAATGTCGTTGTCTTATCATTAAGCTTATCAGTTGTTCCGTGTCTAGTTTGCTTAACGGCATCCAATTACAAAATATTAAAGGATATTTTAGAAATATTCACGTACAAAACAAACAGTAAACGTACAGAAAAATATTACCATACAACAGGGGAAAACATCAAACATGTAAATGTATTCACTTTAACGGAACGGAAGAATGATTATGAAAACCTTCGTTATTGAAGCATGAAGCAGATAATGCACTGAAAAATGGGATCTAAACTTTTAACATAACTTCTATTAGTAAGGCAAATATAAGGCAAAGATAAATGTTCGAGGGGGTGGAATGAGACACGATCACCCGGAACTAATCCGTTCCATTCATTAGGTCATAGACATGTATAATTCCGGGGTGTCCCTGAACCTATTTTTCAGATAAATTGTTTTCATTAGGGTTTTTATATTTTACATTCCCTCTTAAGCACACCAAATACAGACATAGGTTAAGTCCATGTATATTCCCTATCTAAAGGCGGAAAAGAAGTTGTATCGTATTGTTAAGAATTCTCATTGTAACAATATAAGTAAAACGTGAATTTTGGCTATTACAATTAGTTTAGTTAAAACAGTTTGATTGAAACATGTTTACAATTGGATTTGATATAATTTGAAAATCATCATATTTAAACCAACTGCCATTTAATTGAATTTATGTTATTAGTTCTCTAAAGCACATGTTCCAGTTCCGACCTATTTCTACCTGGGAATTTTACAATATATAAACATCATATGCATTTTATTGAAAGCTAATATACATGTTAAATAGTTCAGTTTATTTTTATTCTGACAGCATGACATGCTTTACCTTTCCTCCAGTATCTACTGGCTATTTTTTGTTTTTCTTTTATTCTTTTATTTAATTTAATGTTTTCCGTCAATATCAAATACAGATGTAAAAGTTGAACTAACTTCCCTTTTGTCTGATTTTTTACTTAGACGTCTAGTCTGCAACGTTTGTTTCCAGATGGTGTCGATTCATTTGAAAATTATCTTTTTCATTGAAAATTAAATATTTTTTTCATCACAGACATAAATACTTATAATTAAATCGGACATTATACAGGAAACAACGTTTTTCCATCAATATCTATTTCAATCTGGAATAATAACATACACTAAACGCTTGCAAAGGTAATAGACCTACATAGCTCGACGTGTTTATATATACATTATATTAAAAATGTATTTTTTTATGTTACAACTGTTTTATATCTGTCTATAAATTATATTAAAACGCAGCAAACAAACGACAGTTTAAAATGCTACGTAACTACGGCGGACCTGACGGTTAAGTAAGGCTTCCATGTATTGTATTATCTCAGTGTATTCTCACTAAACTTACTTTTCTCTCGGGGATATGAGGAACATATGATTTGTTCTTTTTTCAAAAAAACATTTGTAAGTAAAAAAACATAATGTATGCAAAAAAAACCTATTTTCGCTCTATGGATGAAACGTAGATATGTCTTATGTTTCTTTGACATCAATGACATTTTTCAACCCATTGTCTATATTTTTTTGTTGTAAACGTACACGAACAAGAAACACACATCATATAGACAAATGTATTATGTATTTAATTGATTGGAAGAAGACACTTTTCGAAATAGTTAATCAAAGACAGGAAGTTCCCACGAATATTTAATGTGATACTGTAACAAAAAAATAAATAAAAATCAATATTTGTTTATTCCCATTTATAGTAATGATTTGGAGCTTAACTCTTGATCTAATGCCAATTCCTCNNNCCCACGTTCGCGCTGGTGTATGTTTATTACTAGACCATTTCTCACTCAATGCTTGTGTATTGGAAGTTTCATATAATCCCATTTCCCACAAGGATACTTGCCATCATATCCAGGTGCTGGTCGGAGAATGGTGTTTTTCTCTGGTTACTCCGGCTTTTCACCACCACCATAGCAGTTTTAAATAGGACGTAAATCATAAAACAAGCAAAGCCATCATATCCCTCTAATTATCTTTTACATCAATGTTTTATTATCGTTTTATAAAAGAACGTTATTTTTGGTTTCCATTTGAAACGGGCTTTGCTCAAAAGTGGAGAAACGCAATTTTCATTTACATACTTGTTTCCAGATCGTACTTATTGGATTAATGAATATATTTTCATTGAAATTAAAATATATTTATTTAAAATTAATTCTTACTTGTATAACTTTGTGCACTAGCTAATCCTCAGAATATGTCTATCAATTGAGTAAATGTAATGTATCTCTGACATGAAATATATCTTAACCTATTTTTACTTTCTCAAGATACAGATCTTGAAGTATTTCTGCATCGGAATATTCCATCTTTGCGTATTGCAGAGTTGTCTTCTCTTTGGAGCAGGTATTGATTGTTACGTCATTGGTTTGTGTGAGAAAATTACGTCGTTTTCTCAAAAAAATTGATGACGTTACTCTCACAAACAAGTGACGTAACAATCAATACCTGCTCCCAAGAGAAGATAACTCTGCAATACGCAAAGACGGAATATATAAAAAGAAAAAATCTTTACAACACGTCTTAAGCGCTTTCATCTCATCAAGGAAATTATTTGAAACAGATAATATAATTTGAAGATATTATATATATATATATAAACGTCATACGTGTGTCTGAAACCAAATACATATTTCAATTTTTTAGTTATTTTTTTAAATGCTTGCCATTCATAATCATTCTTCGAATGATCTACCTGTTAGTTCTCACTCCCTGTTTTATTGATTTTATGTTTCGGTTTTCATCATGACTGAATAAATCTAAAATTAATTTCCCTTTTTATATTTGATATAGCGCAGGAAATAACTACTTCCAACAGGATCCATCTTATTGTTTCAAACTTGTAGTGCTAGCACACAGAAGACGCCTGCAATGCTAATAGGATATGTGAATATGAGTATATGATAAAGCAACATAACTTTAGTTCGAGGCACGCATTCTTCTTTTCAACTCCTGCGTATAAATAAGTAGACTTATATTTTGGATTCGTAATCAGTTAAGGATTGCAATTCATGTGTTTGGTGAAGTACCTTTCCATGTGTAGTAGGGAAGTTCCTATTCTTTTGAAGAACTATTAGTAGGTTTCAGCTACTTATAGATATACTGGTCGTGTAGACACTGTTTATAAATGCATTTAAAATTATTCACTTATACATATTTCACAATGGAATTTTGTTTATTTGCCAGCAACCAGTTTGCGAATTATATTTTTTCTGTTTATCATATCAACAGTTTGTACATGTACCTAGAGGCTATCCAGAGAGTAAGTAATTCTTGTCATTGAATATGAATCATAATCACTAGTTCGATATTCTGTTTCTCTCAAAGCCCGCAACATCAAACTGTTGAAATAACATTAATAACCCCCTTCTTAATAGTTATGAAATCAACAGGGTGTGAAAACAAGTTAAATAAAAAGAATAAATAAATAAATGAAAAATTGCAGTAATTTCGGGAATCCTTGCATACAAATTTTCTCTCAGCATTACATATTATTACCTACAATAATGCAAAAAATGAATTATGTCAGAAAAATTAGACGACAATATTTGCCTTTTAACAAAAGGAAGTGTTCCGATTGTTTTTCTAGAATTTAAGAACATTTTAAACCTCACACAAGCAGGCATGAGTCAAACCACTATCCCCTTTCCTTGTTTATAAAATACTATAGGCTCAAGATAACTATAAAGGTTATTTTTTTGTTTAAAAGAGACACCTTTGAAGAGTTGTAAAAACATTCGAAAATAGCCTACGTCCAATGAGAAAATCGATCTTTCTGGATGAAAATATTAATATATGTATTTGCCTTTATATATGTTATATCGTATTCATAATAGTTAGCATGCTTTACCCAACTACTTAGTTGTTTCGTGTACAATTGTATATTACACAGTCCATCAGTTTGAGCTTTAACTATGATTAAGCTGTTACTTACATGTAGGTATTGTAACGTAATAGTTGTTTCTCTTTAATAGTTAGGTCTAAATGAAAATGAGGTATGTTTGGCATGAACGATTTTTACTTTGAATACTACGCATAATCTATTCTCATCTAGTATTAGACGGTGGTAACATGAAAATGTTTCTTCAATTACAGAGCGGGAACGAAAATATTACAGTATTCTTATTTCCATACGCACTACAAACTAATAAGAATACACAGATAAAACCATTGTTATCCGAGGTAAGCTATGGTATAGTAAATAACGCAACTAACTTTTATGAAAATTTAACACGCACAAGCACATATTTAAAAAAATAAGTGAGAAATAAAGGAATGGAAATAAAAGTAAACGTATGTACAGATATGCGTATAAAACTTGCATGAAAGAAGAAGCAAAATAGTTGAATCGAATAAAAATGAGAAAGTAGAATTGGTAATTTAAATTAAAAAAAGAGAGCAAAAAAAAATAAAAAAAATAAAAATAGTACCAACGGCTCGGTGCGAGGCACGAGAAAAAAAGTATACGATTCATTTATATATATATTTAAATTAACGGCACATACTTATACAACCATGAAAATTAACACCTTATTTACATTATAATACACTTTATTTATTTGATTATAAATCTGTAAAGATAGATACATGTACCTGTATATATACAGGCATCATAAGATGATTATAAGAGCATTTGTTTTATAAGTGAGCCAACAGTATATTACAAAAAAACAACAACCACACAATGAAAAAAAAAAAGGAAAAACAAATCAGATGGAAATATCGATCATAATAACAACATATTTCGAATAGAATAAAACAGACGTCAATGTTAGTGTATGTAATTTATATATATTGTGCAGCATTACCTCCTTCAATAGAAAAAAAATGGTCACAACAGTGAACAGGTCGACCAAATGAGTATGGAAAAATTCTAAAAATGGTAAATATGAGTATGACGTTTGATAACACAATAATGAAATATACATACCTGTTGTCAGGCTAAGCACACACAAAAGTGTGGCAGCCACAGCTATCGGGGACATGATCATAGCCTGTCCCACCGAAATCAAGAAACACGTGTGTGGTCCCCCTAAAAAGAAAGACATAGAACTTTACTATTTTATAATTTTTACCTGCAAAGCACAGCAAAGTAAAGTCCTAAAAATTACTTAATTGTCGCGAATTGTCATTTTCCAATGTGCTTCTCATAACGAATTCGCAAATAAAAAAACCCCAAACAAACATATAAATATATTCATCAAGATATATTGAAATCTTGATCAGATTCTCTTCTAGTAAACACGATATACACAATTTACACAATATGACTGTTTTTTTTTAACTTGCATATTATGATTAAAATCAGTGTGAAATCAACCACCTTTTTAACACGCGCATCTGATTCTCAATAATAACCGTTGCTTATTAGAATATGACGGCTAACGTGCTTAACGTTTGGCCATATCATTACGATTGAAGGGTATTGTTATGACCAATCGCTATGCTGATAGCTGTCATTTGATGGTTACATCGGAGCGACACCCGACTTTAAAGCCAGTGAATTTCACCTTGATGTTGCCGCACGATTCTTTTGATGTACATAAAACATAAAACTGATTTATTTGAACTATCCGTAAGGGGGTGCATACAGAGCCTGCAGTTATGTCATAACAGTTTCAATGGTGCAGGCAGTGAAAGAGAACTGCAATTTTTGTATTTTTTTTATAATCGAAATTGTGTTTTATTAAGAACAACATGAGTGACATTAATTGCTCCTGTCAAAAACAAACACGAGCTAACAAATGTTCTCACAAAATGTAGGCGAATTTTAACTGTGAATTTTAGTGTTCACCATAAAGACGTGTTCTCGATGTCTTAGAACGTTGGTGCCCTATATTCTCTAACGATACGGTAGCCATTATGATGGCCTAAACACCTTAGAATTTTCAATCTTCATCTTTAATGTAGAAGGTGTATACAGTAGCAACAATTTTGTTTTGATGTATTTTGTGACTTTTCTGTTGTTTTGGTGTCTCTTTAGCCCATGTTAGCTGTGTGAGCAGTTTTCGTATGGCCTTAATTTGTTACATTATGCATGCGTTTTCGACGCTGTGGTATACTGTATAACACGAAATGTTCGTTGTTTATAAACATTCGTGGTATTCGTGGTTGCTATTGAACAACGAAAATAAATACAACGAATTTGAATGATACACGTGTCTACTGTTTGTTAATATAGAATATCCACGAAAGTGTGTTCCACGAAACGATCGAAATAGCTTCAAACCACGAAGGAAAGTATCCACGAACATTGCGTGTTATACAGTATAGTTTCTCAAAGAACTACATTGAAATCCACTTAACAAAAAGGTTTCTCTCTATTTTATATTGAAGCTTTAAAGTATGAATTGATAAAGTTGTAGAACTTTAACTAGCCAGACGCAACAGCAATATTTTTTTGTCTTCTTTCTAAAAACAGTAATGACTTTTGTATTTTAGTATTTTTTACCGTCTTTTCATTGTATTTCACTTCACATGTGATTTTAAAACATTAAATGACACTGATTAATAGTGGTTATCGATACCGTATTATTTGTACTACCTTAGAGTTTCGCAATGTGTGCAAAAAAACACGTTTTATTGAATTATCATATTTCAAACTAAAATTTTAGATTTAATATGGTCATATCTCTTATCAATAATCGGTTTTTGATTATTTTTAAACAATGTCGAGACAAAGGCACTTTATTTAATGCCGTAAAATATGAATATACATATGAGGTTTACTTGACTGAGTTGAGTATAAAGAAGTTTTGATACTTCAAAACCTCAAGAAGTCACGTAAAGTTTTAAAATATGAATGGATCAGGTAGTTAGCCTCAATTGTAAGTCTTTTTGATCTTCAACTAAAAACAATGAGGACTTTCTGAAGTATCTCCCCATTTGACCTTGATCATATTTCATTTCACA